ATACACACATGACGTCTAGGGATGCTGTGCTGGTCAATAAGTGAATTCAAGTTTGAGCCCAACCCATCTATGCAGGTAGATATGAGTTGATACGGCTCGAACCATTAAGTTTTCATATTAGGTCGTGAGGTTGATTAGGATATTTATTTTATACATTCATATTAGGTCTTCAAGACCTTCAGTAAAAAAAATTCACAAACAAAGGCATAAAACCTGATCCTCAGTCGACAGCTCGACAAAGTTGATAAGGTTCATCCATAAAATTCAAATATTTTCAAATAAAAATGCCCCGAAACACCCTGATGATGGCCGTGTTGAAAGTTTATCTCAACCGAAGATGTTCACAAATACTTTCAAATGCCTTCCAAGTTCCACCCAAATATCTACAAAAATTAAAAAAATCTTAAAATCTAAAATATTTAAAATTGAAACAATTCAACAATCGATTAAAGCAAAATCCATCCACCCCCACAACTGTTTTTCGAGGTGGACAAATAAAATAAAATACTTCAGCTCACATAGAGCTAAAATGCCTGGTCAAAAATATCATTAGGATTCATTCTCAAATAATCTTCTTCCAGTAAGGACGTGGTACATGTCCTTCGCCACCAAATGGTACCGCAGGATAAACGGTTATGACTCGGTGCCCTATGAACCGAGTGTTTTTGCCACCAAATTGGACCACGAAATACCGGTTATGGCTAGAGCCAATACGTTCCTTAGTGACATTAAATCATTGAGATATGAATCAATAGGTATAATTGATAAGGCACGAAGCCCTCTGTTAGCTAAGGTGGATTCAAATTTTTCCCCTTAGATAAACATTCACCCCATGTCTACATGGTCCCTTTGGACGAAACAACCAATGGCTACCGACAAGGATCCTTCCGTCACGTTGGGTCGACTACCTCCTCTGACTAAGTAGACCAGGGATCACGATGGCCCGGGACGACGGAACCATGGGATCTTGATCGGGTCCATCATCCTTTCCCCCACCATCCTCTTTAAGTGCGACATAGTGAAATTTCTATTTTAAATATCAAATCTTCTAACCTTTTAAACTTAAAAGCCTTCAACACATGCTGCTACTATATGCCAGATAACACGTATTTCCACATATCTGATTGACAACTAGCCTTAATCGAAAGTTCTCTCTCGTGATCGGGAGGGGTAATTAATTATAGGGCCTTGCGCCTATAGGAAACCAGAACTCAGATCATGAAGTCCTCGCAAAATGAGGGCGAAATCTCTGGGTAGTGTCTTATCTACAAACACATCTGCCTTCCAAAACTTACCCCGGAACTTAGTTCATTAAAACTCCCCCTGAAGAAAAAGTAAGGCGGACGGAGGCTGGGGCCGAATTTTCGGAGCCCACACAAGCCAATACCCTTAAATTATGTCGGCTATATGTCTTCATAACAATTCAATGCCCATCAATTAAAAGATATGCGTGGCATACATAGCCAGACTTTCTTATTTCTATATATGCATACATAGAAATTAGGTTAATACTTGTATATTCTGCCTTAGGACTTGTCATGTAATCATTATGTAATAAGTTGTTTTCAAATGTAGAAATTACTTGAATCCTGCTGAATAAATAGGTATTTAAGATCCTCTATAAAAGATAGAGAATTCAAATCACCTCCTCTCTCTTTAAATCAATGATAACATTGTTTTTTGTGTTGGCTAATAGAATGAGGATGGAGTTTGGAAAAAGAATGAAAAGGTGACGAGTAATTAGAGGATAGATTTGGGACATGAGATACTGTGGAAATGCATGGAAATGGCACAACCGTGTTCTGCTTAGAAAACAATCATGACGTACATTATTTATATTATACATGTGTATGAAGGTAAGTTCCAGTTTAGTTAATTTCCAAACCCTTTCCTTATGCTAACCATAATTTTGAATAAGTTGAGACATTTGGCATAAAGTAATCTAAAATAATATTTGTAACTGTATCCACTACACGAGATCCCGTCAATGATTTTTCTGATGAGCTGTTATGTACAAAACCTTCTTCATTCCAAGGAAAACATGCTAGAATCATTAAACTTGCAAGTGTAAACATTGCATTCCATGTATCCATATGTGGGAAGGTGTAATAAGGCCCTTTGAAACTATATTCAATAAGTATATGATGAGCTAATTTTGCATGATAGGCATGCGCTAGTGAGACAGATACAAGTGATACTTAGTTAAATTTAAATTTAATGTTTAATTTAAGTTTTTAATTTTCTTTCCAATGATGTTTTGTTCTAATGGAAATCAACATTGCAGCTTGATCGGGCTAATAAAGATTGGAACAAATTTCTTTCGAAAATTCTTTCCATTCATTTTTTATCGTTTCTTACTTAAAAAATACCATTGTCGATCCAAACCTGGAAGAGCAAGGCTATCAATCCACATCTGGTGGAGAAAGGCCAAGGGTAACTGTTGACAAAATTAATGGAATGCATTAAACAAAAGTACATCCAGGAGATGTATCTGTGGTGGATGTGATGTAGAACTATATGCTAAATCGGAGATTTGCACAAAATATTTAAGAGTAATTTCAGATTTTCGTTATTAGCAATTAAAACAACAACGTAAAACAAATAAATGGTTACTTTCGCTTAGGTTAAGCCACACAAGAGACTAAGCTAAATCAAAACACATAGGAAAACTAAAACATTGCAAGAGAAGTAGTTTCCAACTTAACCAAGACTTAACAATGAAATCTAATTGCGAAGAAGTAACAATCCTACGATTACTAATGGATGGCGAATAATAGACACAGTTTCTTGCTTGGACAATTCTCAATAAGGTAAGTAGAATTTTAAAAGTAAATGGATCTAGGAAGAAGATCACCTTCTCGGAGAAATGTCGTGAGTTATTACGAACCTTCCATTAGTTTCTCTTCCCTAGCCTTGATCACCATGAATAGCAGTGAGTACGTGGTCTTCTCTTTGGATCAACAATGGTTGGGGTCAATTCGAGGAAGGCCAATGAGGAGTTCCATGCAATCTTAGCCTTCGTACGCCAAAACCGGCTTCAAATTCCGGATCGATCTTCCATCTTCAATCAAAGTAGGAGATACAACTTGAGAGGAGGGTGAAGAGAGAAAGAGAGAGGGGTGGTGGGAAGAGAGTGGCCGGCGGGTTGTGAGGGAGAGGGAGGCGGCTAGGGTCAGGGGCGGCTAGGTTAGGTGGAGTAGAATTTGTGTAATTCCCAAATCTGAAATTATTTTCAGATTTAAGTAAAAATGGAGGGAAATTTATTGGATTTTGAATTTCAAATAGCATGTATTAAAGTCCCTTAATGGAGCATTAAAGGAGGGGGCCCATTAAGGGGGGCCGGCGGCATTTATAGGGGATTGGGAGTGAGGGAAAAGGAGTTATGTGTTTCCTAATTCGCTTCTCCAAATTAATTATGAAAATTTCAAATCCGCTCAAATTCAAAATTTGAAATTTGAAATCTCATTGAAAACTTTCCTAATTTGGCGTCAGGCAAATTTGGAAACTTCCACCTTGAATTTCAGAATTTGAAATTTTGTGGAGAATCAATGAGGGGATTAACAATTGGTGGAGAAGGAGTTGAAGGGGAAAACACAAGGGGGAGGCCGGCGGTTCAGGTGATGCCGGCGGGATGAGGGGGCGGTGGATCTTGGGGAGGTGGTGAGGTTTGGCTAGGGGCAATTATGAAAAGGTTGTTGGTGGGGAGGGTGGATGGCGGTGGGCGTGGATAAAAGAAAATAGAGAAAGGGAGATAAACCAAGAGCCACCGGTGGCGACTGTTGGGTACGACGGGTGGCCTCTCCTAGGCTCCACCAAGCTCACAACTCTCTCTCTCTCTCAAGCTCTCACAAAAGCTCCAAGAAGAAGACAATGCAGGAAAATAATCATATCATTTATTAACCATCAAAAGTACAAGACGAAGGCTATAAATAGCCTAATACAAAGACATAAAATAAAAGACTCAAATACCCTCGAGGGGCTACAAGACTCAATCCCTCAAGCAAGGGTAAAAAGGGAAAAATGCAGAAATAAAAATACACCAAGATAAAATGATCATACTAAAATCAGAAATACATCGGGTAAATCGTGGCCGTAGATCTACGGCCACGTCGACGGTAGACTTTCCAGCTGATGTCCCCATCAGGATGAGTGTGGTCTAATGTCATCTTATGTTTCTAAACAAAAATACATACAAGACTTTTTTTTTGTGATTTCATTATCAAGGATGACAACACACAGAATCTTGCCTCTGCATACCATGATGCAACTCTATTTGCGAACTTGCCCTAATTCATTAGCTGGCTTATTAGGTGGCTTCAAGCCAAGCTAAAGTCAAGCTAAAATTGCAGTGTCCGTTCTGATTGTTTGCACGAGCAGTAAATCAGGACTGTTATTATTTCTGTGGGCATAAATTTTAGCTATGTAGTAATCCTGCTGTTTGAAATCTCAGGTGGATGTGGCCTACCTTCTGTTGCGAAGGTCATGGAAACATGTTATCGATTCTACAATCAAAGAATGGGAATATCTGTTATTTTGTACTGAGGAAAAGTCAATATTCTTAGCCCAGTGAACGAAATTTCCAATTGAATAAAGTCCCTACTACGAATTGTTAATGTTTTGAAGACATTTTCTTTGAAAGTGTACAAAGCTGATGTGCATTAGACTGGCTAGATTCATTGAACCTGGAAGAATCCAAGTGTTATGCTTTGTCTCAATTCGCATTTTAATAGCTTCTGATTAGGAAACATTTAATTTGATGTCAATCATCTTTTGGGAATGTATTTGATGTGTGAACAGAGGTTTATTAAAGCAGACGACCTTTAATTTTTACAGCATTGCAAATGCAGTTCTACTCAGTATTCTTTTCATGCCTTGTTCAGTAATGAGCCCTTCTTTTTTGGTTGTTTTCTAAAGTTTAAATAAATTATTAAGAAAATGCTATCCTGGTCTTTAAGTTGGTTTGTTTTATATTATTATTAATTTTAACTGTGAATTGACAGCCGACGCTGCACAAGCCTAGTATGATGGCTCATGTTGTACGGGTAATGAAGGGAGAAAAAACAATTCGTATGCACTATGCTAATTGCAGGTTCCATTTGCATTATACTCATATTTTGAGCAGGAACCATATTTTATTACCTCCAATTCACGAAATTTTCTCTTTGCAGCACTTACAATGCTGACTTTGATGGAGATGAAATGAACGTTCATTTTCCTCAAGATGAGATTTCACGGGCTGAGTCTGTTCACATCGTTGATGCCAATAAACAGTATATTGTTCCAACCAGCGGGGATCCCATAAGAAGCTTGATTCAGGTAAAGAACTTATTGGTTGCCATATAATTTGGTGACATGCCGTTTCTCATTATAAAATTATGTGCTTTTTGAATTTCTTAAAATTTATAGGATCACATTGTGAGTGCTGTCATCCTAACAAAGATAGACACATTTCTAACCCGTGAAGAGTTCACTCAGCTTTTATATGCTTCCTGTGTACCAACCCCAGCTTATAGTTCTCAAGCTGTTAAGTTTGGCAAAAAGATTTCTGCTTTAGTTGCTGTTGATGATATTCAACTCCCTCCTCCTGCTATATGGAAGCCAAAACTGCTGTGGACAGGAAAGCAGGTTAGTTATAGTCCATTTGATTGTTCATACACATATTTATCATTAAATTACTAAGAGTTAACTTAGTGCATCAGATGTTTATTCTGTCTTATTTGTAGGTTATTACGGCAATTCTACACCATATTATAAAGGGTCATGAACCACTTACTGTTGAAAAAGAGGGAAGAATTCCCATGGAGTATTTTGGAAAAGATGCTACTGAAAGGAAGTTGTTTGTTTACAACAACGACCTTGTGCATGGGATTATTGACAAAGCTCAGTTTGGAAAATATGGTTTAGTTCATACTGTTCATGAACTCTATGGCCCAGACATTGCTGGGCAATTGCTTGCAGTGTTCAGTCGCCTATTCACTTTTTTTCTTCAGGTTGACGTTTCTCTGTTTACTACATTTCTCACCATCTATTGATGTTTCTTAATTTACTCAGCTCACCCATCTATCATCAACATTCTCGTATGAATATTATTCACTTTTTGCAGATGCATGGTTTTACATGTGGAGTGGATGATCTTTTGGTTTTCCGAGATTCGGATATGAAGAGGGAAAGAATATTGGAAAACAGTGAAAGATGTAGTGAAGATGTTCATTCCCGGTTTACAGCAGCAGCAGCAGCAACAAATGATTTTGAAGGTATGCTAATTTTCTGGTTTATATTTGGTGGATAATTTGATTGTATCCTAAAAAATGTTTGCTCTTGGTTGCCTTTTGTCTTGAATAATTTTCATCCAACATTTTTTTTTCTCTAATTTTGAGTTTGATTGCTAGGAGCTTAAATGTCTTTTTGAGTTATCTGGAAAATTATTCAATGAAGATTTAATTCCATATGATATTAGGAGATGCATTATACATATGGGTAAATGAGTGTGTCTACATTTTATTATTTCTTCTTGGATAGTTGCTACAATTTTTTTTTTCTAATATCATTGGGATGGTTATTTGAATAAGATTCTTTTGAAGATAATGCTTAGGAGATTATTTTATCCCCATCTTTGCTGACTTTCTTTAATGTTTCTAGATCCATTGAAGCTGCTCAGAGAAACTGAGAAAGTTGTCAGGAGAAATGGAGAATCTGCAACAAAACGGCTGGATAGGATGATGTCAAATGCTCTGAATGCTCTTACTTCAGAGGTTAATCTTGTACTATTTCCTGGTGGCTTGCAGAAACCATTTCCAAATAACTGCCTGTCTCTGATGACGTTAACTGGAGCAAAAGGTGGTTTGGTAAATTCCTTTTTCCTTTTTCTTAACCTTGCAAATATTTCCTGTAGATAAACTGCTAAAGCCACCCCAAAATTATTATGTTATGAGAGATGGTTCTAGTAGGGTTTCATAAATCCTGGCCTTGTTGCGCCTAATTTTTTGTTTTAATTTATGGTAACCTGTAAACACTATATAGGATCATATTTTATTATCATCGGTAAGCATAATACGATACAATATTGATAATTATGCATGCTAGACAGTGGGCATCACATAGTTACTCCATAGGAATCATCCTGACATGGTATTTGATGTCTATTGATAGCCTATTGAGATTTGATAGATACATACAATTTAATTGTAATAAATTTGAAAATTGAGAGGATTTACACCACAAAGAAATTTTTTTCTAAATAATAAACACGAGAATGACTATATGCAAACACTACATTATCATGCTGATTGAAACCTTCATGTTAATTATGGTAACTAGGAAACTAAATGGAGATAATGTGAAGAATCCATGAGTTCGCTAACAATCATCTCTGATTTATTTGATTTCATGCGTTTACAACAGCTGATTGGGCACTTGCACCAGCCACAATAGAAGCTCATCTCTTTATGTCATCAATACTTCTTTCTGTGGACAAAATTCATCATATCAGGTTGTTGAAGATCATCTAATGTTTGTTTCGGAGGAGATCAGCAAAATAATATCTGATGAACATATATGGAGATTAGATTATCAAGAAGCTCATGTGGATAACTAGAAATGAAATTTAAGAACATTAAATAAACTAAGAAAATAAAATAAAATAAAAAAGTTGAAAAATCAACAAAAATAAATAAAAAACATGCCGAAAAAATTAAATAAAAACAATTAAATGAAATTTAGGTAAGATGTTTCCTTTTCTACGAAAGAAAAGAAAAAAAAATCTTTCACAATTGGTCACTTCGCTCAGGCTTTTATGTGCAGCTACTGAAGCCCACCTGTTTCTTGCTCTCAATTATAACGATGCTCCCTGCACTCCGCTCACAGTAGCTCCATTGCTCCCCACTCCCCAACTCGTAGCACCAACAACTCTTCCAGCTCCCCTATCCCTGCTCATGTCTCGCTATCTATTTCTCGCTCAACTCTTTGGCTCACTCATTGGATTTAGAATTTTTGGGGGCTTGGATGACCCCCCTTTTGAGGTGTTGAATGGCTTCAGGAAGCTCTGATAGCACCTCTTAGTTTAAAGAAAATTAGACGCCCTTCATGTAAATGTGAAACCTATCATCCCTAATTTGGCTTTTTCCCCTCCTTTAGTTGGTTGTGATGTTGCTTCTTATTGTTTTGACATATCAAGGCTATGAACTTCTAAAATGTGAATTTTTTTAACATAAATTGTAGAAAATTTATTTGCAAAGATTCAAATGACAAGTTTTTTTTTTAATACTTTTTGTTAAAAATTAACCTTATATGTTTTTTATGATATTGTTTTGTTTGTATTTTACTCTTACTAGGCCATAATGGATAAAAAATGATTCATGTAGCTGACCCCACGTAGTGGGATAAAGGCTTGATGTTGTTGTTGCAGTGTTTTGTTTGAATCTTTTTCTTTCATTAATAATAAATTTAATTTAAGAAGTAAGTGTGAGGTCCGTTTAATGAATTTTCTTTTCCTTTGTGTTCATTGAATCCCTCACGTTGCTTTTCGGACAATATAGGCATTTAGACCATTTAGGCATTCCAAGCACATCAGGATGGTCTATTTGACAAAATGAGCGATAAATTTAAGATATTTTATGTTGATGTTTAGAAAATTATGTTTTTCTTCTCCCATAATGATTGCATTCAACTAGACGGCTTGTGATTCAAATATTGTGGTCAGTAGAGAGACAAGGACACAAGAGGTGGAATGTTAAAGTTGTTCTTGAATTCTTTAAAGCCAAGCACTTGATTAATACTATTGTGCTTGTTTATATACCTCTTTAATAAGTAAACTAAATTGCATTTAACAATGCAAAATAATATTTATATTTTATAATCATTAGAATTAGGAATGTTTCAAGCCACAGTTATATCTACATATATTTAAGAGGTTGAATTAGGAAACATAAAACAAGATTCGTTTGATAAATTAGTGAGCTAGATTAGTATAGGTATTAATTTGTCCTCAACGCCTGCAAATCTGTCCAAATATTTTTTTAGGGTTGTTTAATTGGAGGTGTTTTGAGTGTACTGTATTTCAGATAAAAGTGTGTTGAAAATTGTTGTGTTTGGTTGCTGAAAAGTTAATCTAACGCATTTTTTTTTAGGAGTTAGAAACTAATACTTAGTTAATTTTTGGTATATTATGAAATTAACTAATTGGATATTTTTGGAATAGACCATGTCATGTCCTACCCCCAACAAACTTCCCATCACAACATCTTCCCCTTCACATGCCTCTAATCTCATTGGTCACTACTCTCATGATTTCTGATGTAGACAAAGGGGGGGTCAACACATGTCCAAAATAATACAAATTTTGGCTTCCCTTGAGTCTACTATTTGAGCTGAAATTTTAGCTCATTTATGAGGTAGACTTTAGTTCATTTATTGAACTAAGGGTTAGCTCATTATTAGCTAACATTTTAGTTCATTTATTATCTTACTTTTTATTAAATGTTATTTAGGGTTTTAAAGTCTTTTTTTATGATGTCTCTTGGGGTTCCAAAAAAGGGTTTTGGAATCCCAAGTTAGGTGTTTTGTATTTCCATGCATGACTCCTTGGTTTCCTCCATGGTTTCATTGCATTTGCCCCCTTGGATTCCGGCCGGCTGCTGGTTTCCCGTGCCTAGGCTCTTTCCGTGGCCGTGCCCCCTTGGTTCCCGCTTGGCCTCCTTGGTTCCCACGGCTGCCACTTCGGTTTCTTGGCTTGGGATTTATTTTTAGGTGTTTTAATGTTTTGATGTTTAGGTTCTTGTGATAATTTAATGAATGTGTCCTTTTGTATTCCCCTTTCATACCTATAAATATGAGGGGTTGTTTATGTTTGAAAAAAGTTGAATGAAATGTGATTTTTTGGAAAAGTTATAACCTTCAGGTTTGCTCTGGAAATCCTGCGGGCTCTTTCCACCCATCTTTCTCATCCCCTCCGGAAATCCTGCGGGCTCTTTCCAACCTTTCTTCTTGGGCTTCTAACCTCTTTCATCTCTCCGCAAGTGCCACTCCACCTGTATCTTTCTTCCAAGTGCAGCAACTTTATGGTGTCGTCTTATTTTAATTGGAGTCGTTTGTAAGAGTTTAAGTTGTTGAAATCATCGTTTGTAGTTTTAATTTCCGCTTCTTAGTCTTATTTAAGCTACCTCTTCCTTTTGAGGTATTTTGAGTCTTCTTTTGGTTAGGAAGTCTGTTTCTCTTTGTGATAAAAAAATATAGGGTCCCCTATATTTTTTGATTGCATCAATTTCCCTTCCTTCACATGCTGTCGTTACCGTCGATATCTTCTTCAGTGAACTTCCGTCTTGATTTCCTCTCCTCCTTCAATGCCACTAATCCTCTTGATACCTTACATCAACAAGCTATCATTGCGATTCATTCACATGTTACTGGTCCTATTAATGCTTTCTTCTAGCGAGCTCTCGTTGTGATTCCTTCACAAACTATTGATCTTGTCGTTGCTTGCACCTCTCAAGCTCCTTTTATGATTCCTTCACTTGTTGGTTAGAAATATTCACGAAATAATGCTTGCACTTCTCAACCTCTCAAATATCTCATCGTCTCCATTAAAATAATTCAGTCTCAAACATTTTCTTAGAGTGTCTACATATTTGATGAAGTCCATCACAAGACTATTGTTGGTTAGAAATATTCATGCTCATGGACCCTATGGTGCTACTTGTCACAAGAAGCTTGATGTACTACAAGTTGGCTTTGATTAAACTTCATAGAATCCCTTTTTATGAGATTAACAATTCATTATCGTATTGTATTATGATTTTTGCTCCATATAAAATTAAGCTTTTTATATATAATTAAACATATTTACCATGCATGAACCAAACCAAACTTGATAAGAATTGCACAACTTTAAACTCAGCTGCATGCCACAGAACTCTTACGACCAAACCCAATCCTGCCATAATTCCATTGCTTTTCCATGGCTGCATCTCCTCCAACGCCTCTCCTTTTGTTGTTGGAAACCCATTTACTTAGTTTTAGTATAAGGGAGGAGATGAAGCTATTAACTTCATGATGATTTTAATGAAGATTCTCTTAAGTGATGAGAGTAGGGGAAATTTAATTTCATAAATTATGACATTAAACTACTTATTTTCATTGAATTGTGAGTAGGAGTGACAATTTATTTAAGGTTGGTTGCAACATTATATGACTTTTAATATCCTTATTTTGACTTTTATAATCTTACTTCAATACTTACTGTGATGTTAGTATTTTTCTTATCATTTTATATGTTTCATTAATTTAATGATTTAATTCTGAGGCTCATGCCTCAAAACGTTTTGAGGTTTTGAGGCTTACGCCTCACCTTATGGAAAGAAAAATCCATCAATACTTGATTTACTAGTTTTAAATCATGGCCTGTATGTTCATCTAAATGATAGTAATGTCTTTTACCCATTTACTTGAAAATGTTTTATGAAGTAAATTGTACTTTCATCCATTTTATTGTATGAGATGCACGTTACATAATCATACTTGATATTACCTTGTCAATTGTTTATTATTATTTTTTTTGAATTGCAGTAGTTAATTCCAAGATTTGCTGACTTGTATGCCTTAGTTGGATGAGGCTTTTAACATCTTCTATGATATTTATTTAGTGCCGTTATACTGAAGTTTATGTGTCCTACGTGGTAACATTTATTCAGAAACATAGTCATGTTATCTGCTGCAAGGATTTTTTTTCCCTTATCGCTGATGTGTGACAATATCTTCTGTCTATGCTAAGTACATTCATTTGCTATTGTAGGTTAATATGACACAAATATCATCGTTGTTAGGCCAGCAAGAACTAGAAGGTCAACGTGTTCCACGTATGGTTTCTGGGAAAACTTTACCGTGCTTTCCCGCATGGGATATTTCATCTCGAGCTGGAGGTTTTATTAGTGATCGTTTTTTGACTGGTTTGCGCCCTCAAGAGTACTACTTCCATTGCATGGCTGGTCGTGAGGGGTATGTGTATCATTCATTATCCTTTCTTCAGCTTGATTTCAATTTTATGCTTCATAAATCTAATCGTCTTGCTAGCTAAACTAATTTATTTGTTCTCCAATGATTGCGTCTTGAAATATGAAATTTTCACATTATGCCTATAAATAGGTCAACTTAAACTTCCATCTGCTGAATCTTTAAGTTGGCTAACGTTTGATCTTATAGGACCAAAGTATAGTGGTTGTGTTTCAGGTTATGAAATTTATCTGGTCATATATGACAGTTTCTACCACATAAATTGAAACTGACCCCTTTGTACCTTGAAGAGAAATTCTGCCGACTTGCTCTAGAGGCTTGAAGTCTGTTTTTCTTTTTTGATCAATTCTGTAGGACCATACGCAGGTTTTAATTACTTGGTTCTTAAAATACTAAGATTCATCCAATTAGTTATCATAAATTTAGTCACAATTGTCAGATTATTGCTTACTTGATCCTTCGGTTTTGCACCACAATTGTGGACAATAAAGTTTGAATTTTCTTATGCGTGTAGATTACCAAATACTTACTGACTTAGGTAAAAGATTTGTACTATTAGTAGTTGTTTAAATTCAACTCTCATAATATTATTGAAGATTCTGCTATGATTGTCATAGATTTCACACTTCTAATATCAAAACCGATTTCAAAATTTTGGCTTGTTCTTATTTGATGAAATATCTTTTTGGTTATGTATAACTTTGCTCACCATGGTGAGCTAATATTATTTTTTATGATGTCTAGATTGGTGGATACTGCTATCAAAACATCCCGCAGTGGATATCTCCAGCGATGTTTGGTGAAGAATCTTGAATGTTTAAAAGTTTGTTATGATCATACAGTACGTGATGCAGATGGATCTATCATTCAATTTACATATGGTGAAGATGGAGTTGACGTACAGAAGAGCAGTTTTCTTGGTAAATTTGAAGCCCTCCTGATGGTAATGCTTGAAACTCTTGGATCTCGTACTTTAGGTTCTTCCGTTTTAGGCAATATAATTCTTGTTCTGCTCATAATTACAGAATCAGAAAGTACTTCTTGAAAATTTGAATGCTCAACTTGAAAATGCCCATTTATCAAAGTCAAATGGCTACATTAAAGAATTACCCAGTGAACTCAAGGAAAAAGCTATGCACTTTTTTAGTCGACTCTCGAAGAATCCAAAAGGCTATTTTTATCAGATTAAGAGAAAAGACCTGATGAAGTTAGTGAAACTTAAGTACCTATCAAGCCTTGCTGAACCTGGTGAAGCAGTTGGTGTGCTTGCTGCTCAGTCGGTTGGGGAGCCTTCAACGCAGATGACGTAATTCTTTATTTACTTTCCATACCTTTTTATCTTTGGTTATTTTATTAGTTATTCACATAATGCTTTCTTTATACTAAAGCCTGATCCATTTTAGCCCCATTCTTGTCGTTTCATTCTGTTTTAAATTCCGTTAGGTTTTGAGGTCGTTTGTAGTCGACAAAACAATGAATATAATGCGTTTGAACTGCTGGGTAAGAACCATAGCTTTTTCTTGATAAATTGTCAGAAAAATTCTGATGGATGTAACACAACCTGAGAAGTGGAGCCAAAAATACAAATGAATTCTAGTTGCTGATGAGAATTTACTTTCTATTTTGTAGCATATGCCATATGGTAAGAGTTTATTGGAGAGTATTTAACCATGAGTGATAGAAATATAATTTCAGGGTATCAGGTATAGAGAGAATGTAATTCTGTGTTGAGAAGAGTGTCTGATTATAAAGAGGGTGTAGCAAGTGGACTCGGACATGTTTGTGTTTATGCAGTGAGTTATAACAAATAGGAAAGAGGAAAAAGGTGTTTGTTGCAAGTTTGTTAGAGTGAAGTGTTTTTTTTGTAATTGTTGTGGGGTTGGGGGGGGGGGGAGGTTTTTGTAGTTCTGTATGGTATGATATTTAAACGGGGGAGGGGGAAGAGAAAAATAGTGTGTTAGTGGGATAATAAGAGAGGTTAAGATAAATGAGAAAAAAACCTATTCAGATTAGAATATATTGGAGAGAGAAGCCAAGTTAAGCCCTAAATATATACAATTAACTAGGAAATGTAAAATTTCATTGAATGAATAAAGGATATATTTATATGGAAGTTTGAAATTTAAAAAGTCCAATAGTTATATGGAAGTTTCAAATTTAAGAAGTTTAAAAAAGAAATAAGTTATCCTAATTTCATGAAATTGAAATGAACTATTCTAATTTCATGGAATTGAAATAAATATGGTGCATAAAAAGAATTGAAGTAATTGAATCATGACATCATACACCTCATCAGCTTGATTGTGAATACATTAACAATATTAGTGCGATGATGATTGGTTTATGGTCTCCATTATGAGGATGTCATCATGTTACAAAAATGCATTCATCTATTGTTTTTACTATCAAAAATATCAAAATTACCGAAAAGATTTGTGTGGTGGATGATGCTCGGCTTTGCTAGTAGATTTGCTTAGTGGGCTTAAGGATCTATTAGCGAGAATGGAGAATAGAGACCAAGAATAGAGGAGAATAGGCTAGCAAAATCTTCACTATCTCTGCAAGAAAATAGAACAAAAAATGTCAAAGAATCCTCTAGAAGTTCCCTAAAAAAGTGCCTTCCAAAAGGTTGCTAAATAGTTCCTCATCATCCTTTATTTATAGGATTTTGAGGGCTACAGGAAATACTACATAAGAATTGAAGTATGGCTACATGAAAAATATCTATACAATGTTATACGCTAATCTTAGTCATATAATGCCTCCTGATTGGCTGTAGAAGGGATAAATCAATGGTATGGTGAGCCATTTGCCGTCAAGCAAGCTCAAGAGGTAGATCGAGTAGGTGTAGGACGAGTCCCTAGAAGAGGCGAACCCTTAATTGGTGAGTCGTCTCATGAAGTTTTTGAATGACTTAGGAGGCTTGGCGTTGCCTTTCTAAGGAGGGCAAACCGAGGTGTTGGCAAGGAATATGAGTTCTTGAGTTTGGTAGGGGTTATAGCTGAATGAGTGAGGTTATTGTGGTAGATGCTTTCCTGTAAATAAGTTTGGTGAGCTTAGAGAGTAAGAGCTTGATTGGGATGAGTGGTGATTTGCATGCAAGGAACCTCCTGATCACCTAGCGTAGGGAGAGCTCTTGGATGGATGCAGGCGAGTGACGCCCTCTTTTTGGGTAATTGCGAGCGAGTCCTTCGAGGTATTTGTTCATGAGAAGGAATGTCCTTGTCACGACCTGGTCGCTACTTGTGAAACACTTGAGAAGACAGGTATGTACAAAACTTGATGAAGATCTTGTGGTTTCATCATTCTGAGTTGTCATGAACCCTAGTGTACTTTGTCAGTGGTGATAGTTGATTTAACTTGATTGAAAGATCCTTGTCAGAAACCATAGATTAGGCCTTTCAAGAAGAACTAGTAGACTTGGGGCATTCGTTACTAATCATGTGACAAAGGGGGAGGGTGAGAAAAAGGTCCCCTCCCCTGCCCCCTAGAAAAGAACTTTAATTCTATTAAAAAGGTCTACCTATCCATGCGCATCGTACTCTATATCTTGTAAAAGTTAGGCACTGGAAAACATATAAACATGCTTGGTGGCTTATCATAAAGTATGCGGCAAGATGCATTATAAAGCATGTGAAGTAACACGTTGAAAAGTGTGTATGGTACATTGAAAAGTGTCCCCTAAAATTCACTTGCATGAATCCCAATGAAGTACTAGTGGGACGAAGTGGATTAAAAGGTCCTTTTAGTTCATTTGGGAATGTAAACTACTTGGGCAATTTGAAATTTTGGGAAAATGAAATAGAAGGGTATTTAATTTTTTTTGCTGATGTTGTATGGATTTGGAACATGGAATTAATAAGCTTGAGAAAGTAACTTAAGTTTGGATAAAGAAAAGTCTAGTTTTGAGTTGGAATATTGGCAATGTGGGGTTTGGCTCGACTAAAGATTTAAATTTTAACTATGATGCATGGACATTTCATCATTATGAAACTTATTATTCAAGATGCATGCATTTAGTCGACATGCGCCCAACAAATGTCTACTACAAAATTTTTATTTTCAATTAAACAAATAAAAAATTAACAAACACTAATTTTATAGATATATTACATAAACAGCTTAAGTCATCTCTTTTTTTTAAATTTTAAAATATTACTTAAATAACTAAATATCTACTTAACACTAATTTCATTTTCCCATGATTTAATTAATTTAATTTTATTTATTTTTTCACAAAAGAGTTAATTTTCTCGATTTTAACTTAGAAATTTATGCTATTATGTAATTAGTCTTTCTTCAATTCAGTTTAAGATATTTAATAAATTTAAATATTTATTTTTTATTTCATGAACAATTGAAATAAATTTGTCATTATATGCATTCGTTTCACATTATTTAATTTTTTTAATTGATATTTATTTATTTTTTGTTTTAAGATACGATGTTATAATATTGTGCTCAATGGATGTAACTGTTCTATATTTTCAATTATATATGTATTTCGCATTCATCTCATATCATTTTTGTGTTCCTACGTTAAAAAAAATAATAAAAAAAAAAGTTTTGTTCCTATGTTTGTATCAATGCATCATAAAATATGAGACAATGAAAGATAAAGCCATGGGGATGGTATATTTTATTGGAACTTAATATTTTGACAAATATTCACAGATTCAAGTAGTACTTGTTTTCTAGTTGCATTTCCAAAAAATTTACTATTTTGATTAGAATTTTACGCGTGCTATGAATTTTAGATGTTGGTATCAACTTGATTTTTCAAAATAGGAATCATGTTTTAATACTGGGGCTATTTTCCTTACAGGCTCAACACTTTTCACCTTGCTGGACGTGGAGAGTTGAATGTGACGCTTGGTATACCTCGTTTGACTGAAATACTGATGCACGCAACTGTGAGCATCAGTACTCCTGTTATGACCTGCCCTTTGCTTGATTGGCGATCCAGGTAAATTATGAGGCTCCATGCGAGTTTTATGCTACTTTTAGATTAAATAAATAAGAGATCATTCAAGATGGAAATCACCTTTTTTGAGCTTCTTAATTTTTATTGTATAGCCTTTGAGCTTCTTAATTTTCATTTCTTGTATATTTTTCCACTACTTTTTGCAGGGAGGATGCTGAATTCATTGCTGCGAAGCTGAGGAGAATTTGTTTAGCGGATGTTATAGAGAGTATAGAGGTCTCCACTGTGCCATTCTCTACTAGTGGAAAAGAGGTGTACACCCTATATAAGTTAATATTGAAACTTTACTCTCCTGTGTTTTATCCTCCACATTCGGGTATTACCTTGGAAGTTTGCATGGAGACCTTGCAAACAATTTTTATCAAAGAGATGGAAGAAGAAATAACCAAGCACTTGTTATTGTCATCTAAGATTAAGAGCTTTACAAGAACCTCTTTCAAGGATTTTGTATCGGATGAGGCTGATTTAGATGAACCTGCAAGCCATGAAGCAATGGAAAGTAAAAATGTTATTGAAGAGAATGCTGACAATGTTCATGAAAGTAATGATGATGATGATGATGACGATGATAATGTTATGGATGCGGAAGACCTAGGCGCTGATGCTGAGAAGAGTAAGAGGCAGGCCAATGATGAAATTGAATACGATGATAATATTGAAAATGAAATGTCGGCTTCGGACGATGAATATGATGGCAAGCAATCTGAATCTGATGTTGAATCTGTTCTTGGCGATAAAGAAGATTATGACATAGGAGGTCAAGATCCCAGCACTGCATCGAAGGAAGAAGTATCTCAAACCCCATCAACAATTGCATCAACTGCTTCGCATATTGCCCCGGAGAAGGAAGTAAAGTCCAAAGTCAAAACGAAGGTCATTAAAAGATGTGGCAAAAGGAGTGGTAGAGTGCTTCTAGCGGAGTCCAAAGGATTGGAATTTGAAATCCATTTCAAGTTTTGTCAAGATGAACCTCCAGTTTTACTGGGAGAGGTAATTTCTAGTCTCCACCTCCTTTTTCCACTTTTGAATTGCTTCTTTTTTGCCAGTTGTGTTTTTGGCTTTAACTTATATCACATCTTCTGGCAATTTTTATTTTGTAAGCCCTTCATTTTTGAAGCTAATTGGTAACTTTATGCAGAAATGCACGTTTCTGCAACTTACGAGTTGTCTGAAAATCACTCAATTTAAATTTAAAACAATAAATAGATTGGGATGGCAACATTTTTTTACCGTTGTGACTCATCTTTTAAGAGAAGCATAATACTAAATTAAGTGTTGCAGAGACGAGGATGCTTAGTGGATGAGTGACTTTACCCTTAGAGATGGGATACAAAATGAGCATATACGTGATAAGGTTGGAGTAGCTCCAGTGGAAGATAAGATTAGAGAAAGTCGCCTTAGATGGTTTGGTCACATTAAACGGAGGCTTCCGATGACTCGGTTAGGAAAGTTGTTGAGGTCATCGACAGACATTTTAGGCAGGTTTATTGGCGAAGGAATCGTAGATCGACGGCTACGATCGGGAGTTTATATTTTTGATGTTGTCATGTCTTTTATGTTATTTTATTTTATGCATCTTTTATTTCATGTACTAGTGCCGATTTCGCCCTTATGAAGGCGTAGTGTTTGTTGTAGCCCAAGGGGCATGTGAGTCTTTTTTCTTTTCATGCTTCGAGACCTTTATAAAGGGGTCTTCTCTTATTGTATGAGGTTAATGCTTGATTAATAAAATTCTGAGATTTTTCCTTTGTCTTCTTGCTTGAGAGCTTGAGAGAAAGAGAGGAGGCCTTGGAGAGGCTCCACCACAGCCCACCACGGTGAGCTCTTGGTTTTATCTTGTTTTGTTCACTGTTTTCCCTTCCTCACCACCCCATTCCACTCACCCGACCCACCCCTCCTCCCTCTCTAATTCTCCCTGCAGCCAACCCGCCCAAATCCCCCCTGAACCGCCGACTTCCCTTGCCTGGATCCGCATTCCCCTTCCCCTGTATCCAATCCTGAAATTCCCCTCACCCAATCCCGCCGATCCACCCTCACCCGCCCTCCTTGCCGCCAGCTGTGCCAGCCGCCGGCCTCAGCCAGGCCGCCACACTCAATAGCCCAACCCGCCTCTCCCCTGGTGAGATCCCGCCGCCCACTCCCTCTTAAATTTTGAATTCTTGCCATTAATTCATTCATTATTTCTTTCCTAAAGTAAACCCCTATATTTAGGAATAGATTTAATTGAAATCCCATCCCATTTGAATTCAAATTTCAAATCTCCCTATTTGAATAAAATCTGAAAATTAAAATCAGGTTTTAATTAATGACATGGGGCCCACTAATTAAGCAAAACTCCCCTCTTTCTTCCCTTGCTTGGCCGGCCCCTCACACCTAGCCGTTTCTCTCTCCTTGCCACCTAGGCACCTCTTAATTTCCCTCCCTAATACCCGCCTCTCCTAATTCAAATTTTGGGAGGTTTTCATTGCAATTAATCTCTCCCTCCAACCAAAGAAAAATCTGAAAATCAAATTCAGATTTTCCCCTTGTTCTTCTCTAGTTCACGGCCAACCACTTTCCCTTGTCATCTCCCCGCCCTTCCTCGATGTTGAATGGCGGATCCGGAGCTTGAGTGGGGATTAGTGTTCCACGCCGACGGGAGCATTGATATCTTACGCTCTTCTTGCTTCGACGTAGGATTTGAAGACGACGTCACAATCGAAGAGTACTTGGAGCGAGTCGTCCCGATTCTCGCAAGTATTTTCGACCGACAATTTCGTGGTTACACTTGGACGATCATTGGACGCCATCCGCCACCACCTTCCCCGTTGAATACCTCTCCGGTAACAAAGTCTTTCGTTGCCTTCTTCGTAGTGGTGCTCCTCATCCTCGCATGGTTCTTTCTTCTCCGCTAAAGCCCAAGAGTGAACAAGAGAGAGAGAGAGAGAGGGTACTCAAGGTGAACTTCTTTATTATTAATTGTGGGATTTTTGTTATGAGCATTTAAGTATTTCTTTTATCTTTGAATGTTATGAATTGTTTGGTTATCTCAAAGCAAATCTTCGCCTAAGCAATTTAATTACCTAGAACGATTTAATCCTTTATTTTGTTGGTAATAAAATTTGTTTGACAACGCTTTGAATAATTTTCATTTTAATTTTCAATCGCAATTCCTACATTGATTTACACAAAAGTTGAGGTATTAGATTTGACTTATGTTAGGAAAGGTAGAGGTAGACCTAAAAAGACTTGGTTAGAAATATTAGAAATGATTTTTTTAACAGCACACAATGACGAAGAATGATTCATGTAGCCGACTCCACGTAGTGGGACAAAGGTTTGTTGTTGTTGTTGTTGTGACTCATCTTGTAAATGGACATAAGAATTTCTAAAATTTAACTCTTTTTTTTGTCCCATTTCATAACATTGGGTTCTCCTGCAGCTTGCTCTGAAGACGGCCAAGCGTGTATACGTCAAGGCATGCAAGAACATTGAGCGTTGCTCAGTGGTGGAACCAAAGCTAAGCGGCGATCCCCTCTCGCTCCAGACTGCAGGGGTGAACTTGAATGTGCTCTTGAACTTATATGAATACATTGATATCAATAAGATTGTCACAAACGATATTCATGCAATGCTGAAAACATATGGTGTGGAAGCTGCAAGAGCGACCATCTTAAATGAGGTGAAGGGCGTCTTCGATGCTTATGGCATTCAGGTCAACATAAGACACTTGATGTTGATTGCAGATGCAATGACCTGCAATGGCGAGTATCGTCCCTTGAATCGTCTTGGAATGCAGAAGTACAGCACTTCTCCTTTCTGTACGATGTCGTTCGAGACCGCGACTAACACCATCTCAGAGTCTGCTTTCCATGGTTATGTGGACACCATGGACTCACCTTCAGCTTGTGTCTCCCTTGGCAAGATAGTGAAGGTTGGTACAGGTGGCTTTGATTTGCTGCAGAACATACAGTTATGATAAGTTTAATGGTTTTTCTCTATTTATTTTTAGAGAAGTAAAATTATGGCAGAGCTTGTTTTGTATTTATGAGTGAAATAACAATAGACAGCGGCTTTTCTATTATCTTTTTCTTAAGCAATTTTAATGCAAGTCTCTTGAGGAAAGTCTATCACATTTTTCTTCGTCTTTAGTGCATCTCCAACTAAAAAAAACTTAATTTTTACTCTAAAATACAGCAATGGTCCTCATTATTTTCTAGCTGTTAAATTAGGAAATTTATAATATTTTATAGATGACCTTTATTTAGGCTATTTATTATTAATTGTAATAATTAGTGTTAATTAATAGACATTCATTCAAAATAATATTAATTATAATTTAATGATTACAAAAAAATTAGTGTATTAATTAATTAAAAATATTGACTTGATTAATATTCATTATGATTTGATTAGTTAATATATCAGTACATAATAATTATAATTTAATTAATCTGGTTAGTGCAACAAAATATTTTGAAGTTGGAATTTGTAGGAGGCTATTTTTTATTTAATTATTGTTTTTATTTTATTTTGGGATCCTAATTTAAGTAAAATGATGCTCTTGCATTTGCCCTAAATTCTTTGAGCAAGTGTCCCTAATTTTGTATTATTGTATTAATTTCTTAGGTTTTTTATTTTCCAGTGTTGTTTTCTTTCTTTCAATTTTGTAATAATAATTTTTTAATATAGGTGAAATAATTGTTCTTATGAATTTTTATGAATCAAATATTGTCGTAGGTGTTGAAAGATTGATCCTTTGTGCTTATATTTTCAAAAATTGTATTGAGATATATACTATAATTGACTCAAAGAAATATAAGTGGAGTGCTTATATATGATCATGTTTTTCATGTTCATAGTTGATGTAAAAGTATTATATTTGGAGCACTTAATCATGTCATATCGTGATTATTTCACAAATTTTGTGTTTACTTTCTAACTCAACTTTCTATTTTTTTTTTCGTCCAGAATTTGAGACCTGACAATGATAATATTAATTATTAATTAATATTTTTAGATATATCTATAATAATGAGATATGCACTTATATTTTTTTTTCTTAAATTGGTCATTATATTTGCATGCATGGTAATGTAGTTAATTCTAAAATGATATACATAAAATACTTAGATGTGCTATGTCTTTTTAGTTAAAAATAGCTTTTATCTTGCAAGTTCATTGCAACATACTTAACTTAAAATTAATATATATGAAGCATATATTTTTAATGATAAATAGATCAATACATGTATGATACTTGGGTTTAGTAGTTATATTGTTGAAAACAACTAAATTATTATGCATGGTAATGTAAATAATATAAACAAAATTTAAGTGAAGAAATTAGATGTATTATTGTGTTTTTAGTGAAAAATAAGCTAACATGTAACATGATTATAGCTACACACTTAACTTACAATCAACATATGTGAAATAGCTAATTGTACATTTTTTTTTTTCTGATAATAGGCCAATAAGCAATAACTCTAAATTCAATTTCCTGAAAATTTCAAACTTTGGTCTGAGATTGCTGCGGCGTTGGAATGGGCGGCGCCGTAAGTTTGAGCTCTCAAATTTTTAGGGAATTAATTGAGGGAGTGGTGCTAGGGTTTTGGGTGATGCTAGGCCTGAAACTTCATTTTTTTTAATAAAAATATATAATTCCATTTTATCAAAACCATCACCTTCCATCCCATCCCCATTCCATCTTTACTTGGCCAAGAGAAAGTGGAGAGAGAGAGATTCAAGTCATTTTCATCCATTTCTCTAGTTGACAAAAAGTGTTATGATCATGTTAGGTAACCCAAATTTTACACTGCATTTCTTTTTTAATCAACCAAACATCCTCTCAATGAATCTTAATTAACTGAATTTCGGGACAACGGGTATTGTATGATATATCGTTAAAATATAAAATCCTTTTGGAGGTTATTTATGATCACATACAATTCTTTAGGGACTGTTTATGTATAAATATTCTCCATAACAATATATAGCCATATGCCCAATTAGTTTATAATTTAGTTCTAATTCATTGAATTTTTAAATAAGTTCATCATATATATTTATTCTTTTATTAAAATAATGGATGATATAATATGGATGATGTGGATGAATTTATAGCATTGTCTTATAAGAACCTTACTATATCATATTTGTGAATTATTATACTCTTGTGTTTAATACTCAACATGTTATTGCAAAAATAAAATTATGATATTGTTCATGGATTATTGTACATTTGTGATAGTACTTAGCATATTACTGCAAAATATTTGCCTTATAAGAACCTTATTTGATAATGTAATTGAAATTTTTTTAATTTTTGAAAAATGACTTCTAAGGTCTCTATTCAAGCATATTCATGTACTTAAACTTTTCTTGGACCCTAACATATTTGAAAACTTAGTTATGCCTATCTCCACCGACTGCGTGAAATTATCTTTGAAGATGTGTGGAGAAGGTTTGATTATGTGTTCAAATAAGTTTTTGTAAAATTTTTAAAGAATGTTTTATGCGAATATATTTGTACATTTTGGCTTCGTTTGGGACGGTTCTTTTATTATTTTTTAAAACAGAGTTTTAGTACAATTTTTTTTGTGCTAAAACTCCTTTTTAAAATGCAATAAAAACGTCATCCCAAACAAAGCCATCAATGAATGATATTAAACTACTTTCTATGCATTAAAGAAGGTTTGATGAGGTGTTTGAATAGGTTTTAAGTTGTTTTTTTTTTTTAATCTTCAAATAACCCCTATCAAACAAGTGATTATTAGGTCCGGACACCAGACGCAGCTCTACATCCAGAGACTAATAACATGTCGCCACGTGCTCTTACTCTTTACCGCACGGCCCGACGACCCGACCCGGACCGGAACCCGATATTGCTATGTTCGCGTATTGCTAGGTATTGCTCGATATTGCTAGGTATTGCTTGACAATAATGAGAAATACTGCTCTGTCAAGACCAATACATAGCAATATCGAGCAATGCAAAGCAAAACCGGGGTATTGCTCGGTATTGCTAGGTATTAGTCTTGACAGAATGATATTTCTCGTTATTACCGAGCAATATCGAACAATACCTAGCAATACCCTAGTCTGCACAAATCAGCCAATACATAGCAATCTCGGGTCCGTTCCGGGTCCGGTCTTCGGGCCGCACAGTAAAGAGTAAGAGCACGTGGCAATATTTTACTAACATCGAAACGTTGAGCTAGTTCAGGACACCGGACCAAATAAAAATTCCTATCAAACACTTGCATGAACCTATCTTTGACATTTGATGGATCATATAAGAGTCAAATTTCTCATTCAATTAAGCAAACAAATTGGATATTTTTAGAGAAAAGAAAACCTTCGCCCTTCTTTAGCTGTTCCGGCATTCCTCTTCCATACGTATACGCGTTTCTCTTCCTCATCGACTGATGTCATCTCTTTCCACTTCGCTCCGCCTCTTCTCTCCCAAATTCTCTCAAAACCCTAATCGTAAGCCATTTCAAACAATTCACAAAACTTTATTGCTCTCCCCTCACCACTTCTTCCTCTTCCGCTGTCCAATCTCATTCCATCGCCTCTGTGCCCCTTCGTCCTCACAACTCTTCACACCCCACTCTCATTCTGAACAGGAGCAATCAGATTCCAGTTCTGGTTCCAGCCCTTCTTCTGATGACGATGTTTTGAAACTGCTTCCACCGGCACTCCGTGAAATAGTATCGCTCTTCCAGTCGGTTGGCGATGAACCCAAGGCTAAGTATCAACAGCTACTCTACTATGGTTCTCAGCTCCCGGCCCTCGATCCCCGCTTCAGGAACGATGATCATCGCGTTCACGGCTGCGTTTCCCAAGTATGGGTCCGCGCTTTCCCTGATCCTACCGATCCCGCCGCTGTACGTTTCGAGGCTTATTCCGATTCCGCTCTCACCAGAGGGCTCGCTGCTCTACTGGTGCTCGGTCTCTCTGGATCTCCTGCTTCAGTGATTGCCAGCGTGCCACGGGAATTCATCCTTCTGCTTGGATTGCAACATGGTCTGACGCCATCGAGAAACAATGGATTTCTTAATATGCTGCTTCTTATGCAGAAGAAGGCTAGGGAGCTTCATTTTTTGAGAGAAAATGTTGATTTAGATGATGAAGAGAAGAACTTGACGACGAATGTGAATGGTTGGAGACCTTTGGATTACGCTGAATCCAAGAAGGAAATTGAAGGTTCTAGTGCTGGAGCAGAAGAATATTCAGTTTCAAAGGACAAAGATGTGAAAGTTGAAATTGAGAGTGTGGATGACAGAGGTATTGCCTTAGAGGAAAAATTTGATGCAAGGATTGATAACGATTGGCGTGTAAAAGATGAAAATGTTGATGGTGACCATTCAAGTTTGAATATTGTTGGTGGAACAAGAGGAGAGAGGATTAAGAAGGTTTTAGAAAGGGCCCTTTCCCCTGTGGAGTTGGTTGTGGAGGATATATCTCATCTTCATGCTGGGCATGCAGGTATACAGGGTAGTACAAGCGGTGAGACCCATTTTAAGGTCAGAGTGGTCTCAGAGGAGTTTGATGGGAAGAGTATGGTGAAGAGGCATCGTCTTGTTTATGATTTGCTGCAAGATGAGTTGCAAAGTGGATTGCATTCGTTATCTATTGTGGCCAAGACTCCTTCTGAAAGCAAGAGGCCTAGCTAAATATATGAGAATAATAAAGGTTCTTTCCATTATTTTTCCTGTTTTTGTGGTTGAGCATACATTAATATTATTGAACATACAGTTGCTGTTGGCATCTTCTTGTTTGCAGAACTTATCTTGGCATGTTTGTAGTCAATGATAAATTATTTTTAAGATTATCATAAAGCTATCGGTTTTTTTTTTCTGCTAATAAGAAAAGCAATTAGCCTTTTGTCATTTTTAATGAATGGTTACTGAATTTTTTGACATGAGACCAATCCATGATGTCAAACTAGAGAGCAATACTTATGTAATTTCACTTCCATTTTTTTGGGTATGAAATTTAGCATAATTAAACTTGCTTTTCTCTTTGACTTTACCTTCCTATTGACATAGGGATATATGGAAGGAAATGTATTTTTGTAGTGTTACAAAAACCATTATAGTTATTTTAATTGAATGAACTCCTGCATTTATTTATTATAGTCAAAATGCATGTTTCCAAGTTAATGCAACTAAATGTAAGACTAAATTGTAATAAATGGGGGTGTAAATGAGCCAAGCTTGATCGAGGGTTGTGTTAGGTAGTCGACAATCAGCGTAAAACTTATCGAATGAAAATGCTTAGGTGGATGAGTGGCTTTAATCGTAGAGACATGATACGAAATGAGCATATATGTGAAAAGGTTTGAGTAGCTTCTATACAAGATGAGAATAGAGAGAGTCGCCTTAGATGGTTTGGTCACATAAAACGGCGGCCTTCCGATGACCCGGTTATGAAAGTAGAAGTATTGGATTTGCTTATGTTAAGAAAGGTAGAGGTAGACCTAAAAAGACTTGGTTAGAAAATATTAGAAATGACATTTCTTTATTAGATTTAAATGAGAATTTAACTCTTAACATGATACAATGGAGAAGAAAGATTCATGTAGCCAACCCTACATAGTGGGATAAAGGCTTTATGTTGCTGTTGAACTCCTACATTTATTTATTATAGTCAAAATGCATGTTTCCAAGTTAATGCAACTAAATGTAAAACTAAATTGTAATAAATGGGGTTGTAAAGGAGTCGAGCTTGATTGAGCAATGCATCTTTAATTTTGATATAAAATGAAAGCGATGGTTAGAAGATCATTAATGCATTTCCCCAAAAAAAGTTTAAAACTCAAAAGAACCAAAAAGAATGATAGCACTTGAGAGATGCTAATGGTAGGAAGAAATAACCTATTGAGCTCCTTGATTGGACTTAAAGCTAGGTCATACAATCCATCCGGAACTAATTGTTCCTTTGTATCAAGGAGTTCTGCCTCGGTGCTTGCCTTTAAGCTTATCTTCTTAACCTCTTTTGTAGAGTAAAAGTTGAAATTGATCGGCTTCTTGGTCTTTGATGCTGCTTGGGCCTAAATATTTTGATGTTATACTTACATATATAAGTCCTTAACAATATAAATGATATGCTAGAAAACAATCTTGTGAAGAATTTAGGGTAAACAAATTCAAGAAGAAGAATCTTTGAGAAGAAAATTGGAAGATTAGATGCTAAAATAGATTGTGAAACATAGCTATCAATAGAAATCCAAACAAACATCGCAATGTTACCATTAAAAAAACAGTATTCAATGTTTGAAAGTTTTATGCAAAGAGAATCTTATCAGATCGCATCGGAAAATTTTGAAGCTAATCAAAGAATGGTAATTTCAACGGCTCTAGGTTTGGCACAAGGGCTTACATAAGGGTTTTGCTTAGCTGCAAATGGAGAATTAATAATAGTAGTTGAGACGAACTGTGAGATGGATTTGTCGAATGTTGCTTGTCGTCAATCACGCTCAAAGCCTTTACTATGGGAAAATGACTTGAGTTGAAAGAAATAGATAGCTAAGATTGGAAAAAGAATGGCAGAGCATGGAGAAGGGTTTTGGACGCTAGAAGATTCTTATATTTCTATGCAAATTAGCGTTATGAACATTGCAGTTAAGAGATGGGCTATAAATGAGCCGAGCTTGAGCGAGCTTTTGCAATGTCTTGGTTTTCGTCTCCTTAGAACTTTATTTGTTTGGATTTATTTGGTATTTAAAATTGTTTGTGAATGTCGTATTTGTGTTTGGCTTATTTGATTTCGAGCCGGACACATGCTAATGTCAAATAAATAAGAATAAATATATAATGAGTTGAATACAATAAAATTATCCTACTTATACATTAATCAATTAATAAATAAAAAAAATGTCGATTAACAATATATCATTATAGATATTCATTTATTTCGAGCTAATAACAAACCAAACATGCTCCAATAAGGCTTTGTTTTTTTTTTTTTTCATTTCATTAAGAAAACAAGCTCAAAATAAGTATTCAATATCAGCTCTCTTATTTAACGAATGAATCGAATATGAGCTTCTTACCGAGCTGAACATGAACTATTTACAAATGACAAACTTTTTTGACAGCCCTAATAATAAATGCCTTATTTAATAAAATGTTAAACAAAAAAATATTAGATGGAAAATGAAGGAAATGGAACACCTGAGCAAGTATCACATAACGGAATTCCTTTGTTAATATGTCTATATCGTTCAATTCAAGCATTATAAATCCTATATTGTGTGAAGAGCCCAAATGTTGCTTGAATTTACATCATACCATTGTGAGAATTCGTTTATTTATTAGAATGTAATTTAGAGTAGAACTTTGGTTATTTGAAGATGTAAAATGATGGGTAGTAAATGAACCCATTAGAAAAGTGGTTAAAATTAGTGTTAGATGATTCAATAAGAAAAGTGATAGACCTTAGATGGTATGGATAGAATTTGTTCAAATGATTTGCGAAGAATATGTTTATGACCTCAGGCAACATTCAACAAGCATGAACAAAAAATGAGATTCATAAAGTTGATTGCAAATGGTTAGGATAAGGATAATGATGTTGAAAAAAGGTTGAATGCATTTGCCAAGTTTGCAATAAATTGGACTTGCTTGGACAAGTATAAAATCAAAGCCAAACTTCGTCTCAAATAACACTTCTCAACACGTACAACTTGAATTTATTAAACGAACAAAACAAAACAGACATAAGGCATAAGGTTTTGCAATAAATACCATATTTGATCAATAGATATAGATAAATTTAGAAGTATTTATGATGGGGACATCAGATCATCATGGAAAGTTTACCAGCGACGTGGCCGCCGATCTACGGCCACGATCGAGTCTTTATATTTTTGAGTCGATGTATTTTATTTTCATGCATTTTATTATTTGCTTATGTGTGTTTTATTATTTCTTGTTGTACCCCTTTTTATGGGAGTTGTCATGTGTAAGCCTAAGGGTATTTGTGTCATTTTATTTGGAGTCTTTTGTATGAGGCTATTTAAAGCCCCCTTTGTATTATTTTGAGGTTAATGAATGATTGATTATGAAAATTCCTTCTTGCATGAGCATTGAGAGCTTGAGAATTCTAATGGAGAGAGCTTCCTAGGAGAGGAAGATTCGCGCCGTACCCACCAACCTAGATAAGTCGGGTTCGTGGTTTCTTTCGTTATCATGTTTTCTCCTCGTTCTTTGTATCTATCTCCTCCTTCCCATCATCACTTAGCCGCCGGTTTCTAGTCCACCAAAATCCCCTCCCTTTCCCCTTCACCCCACGGCCAAAACCCCACCCCGAACCCCATTGCTGCCGGCCACCACCACCTAGCCGCCGTTTTCCTCCTCCACCCCCTCTCCTATGGAGTCCCATTGCCTAATTTGGATGTCTATTTTGAGACAGATTTAAAATTCAAACTCCTTTAGTTTGATTTTGAAATCTTTCCAAATCTACCCAAAATTTATTTTTGGAAAGTTACCAAAATTAAACCTATTTGAATTTTAATTCAACTTGGATTCAATTGGTTCTTTCCTTATCTTAAAATTCAAATTAGGAAGCTCTTAAACTTTATTCACCAAGGATCAGTGGACTATCATTGCCGCCAGCCCCTATAGAGACGGCTTAGAATTTATTTCCTATTTCCTGCTCAACTTCATTTGGAAACTTTTCCAAATTTCAGCTATTTCTCTTAATCGCCTTTGAGCAATTTACGGCTTAATTAATTCCCAGATTTGGAAACTTTTCCAAATTTCAGCTATTTCTCTTAGCCGCCTTTGAGCAAGTTACGGCTTAATTAATTCCCAGAGAAGGTCCCATTAATCGGGAATTAATTTGAAGGCAATTCCTATTATTGCCAGCCTCCAGGAAACCTTGCCCGATTGCTAGATCTCTCTCCAAACTCCATGGGACGTTGAGTACCTTGCCTTCTCAGGTTTCAGCCAGAGAATTCCAGCAGCTAACATTGTTCTTCCAGCAACTTGAAGCCTCCAAGCTACTGCTTTACCAAGTCAAGCTGCTGTCCAGCAGTTTCCGCTGGACCAATTTCACTACAGCACCATTGAAGAGCATTTCAAATGTCTTGAGTGGAGGATCTCTACGTCTCCTTAAACAAAGGTTTTCTCCTTTCTTTACTTGCATTCAATTTCTTCTAAATCCAAATTCTCAATTGGTTGATTGTAATCACAAAAGCTCTTTCAATCGCTCTTGCCAAGCCTAGTCATTTGTAGGAATTGAGTGTAATCTTCTATGCATCCTACGTCTCATTGTTAGAGTAGGGATTAACTTGAAGCCTACTATTTTGCATTGCCTTTATTTTCTTGATTATCTTGAACGTTCAACATTTGGCGCATGTGATTTAACCTAGGCAAGATTAACTCCTTAATTGTTTTATTCGCCGTGGATATTTGCTAGTAATTTTATTCGGAACTTATTCTAATTAACAAGTTGTGCAAAGTCTAAAATGAAGTCACAAACATATCATTTTAATTAGTCCTGCATCAATTTATCTACCAATGATCTGACAATGAGCTAAAATGAAATTAAAGGAAGAGGAGGCTCGATTCAAAGGAAGAGGAGGCTCGATTCAAAGGAAGAGGAGAACGGACAAAAAAAAATCTCTTTCACAAATCACATCACACCTTGGAAATAATCTTGATGATGAAAAGTTGCTTTCTTATAACCCCCTTCTCTCTTCCCAAAATGGCACTTTTAACAAGATTTTATAAAAGTGAGGCTCTTTTCAAATATCAAACAGGTGAAGTCTTATATTAAAATACACTTAATCCTATCACTGTAATTTGAAATACAAAATATCAGGAAATAAGCAAATGATTCTATGTTTAACTTAAGTT